AATACCTGGTTTAAATGCATATATAAGTAAACATATGCGTACACTGCGAACTTATACATTTTTTGATTGAAAACATTTCCTGTATTGTTTTATTTCTTGCTCATTACAAATCACTTTGTAAACCTTTAATATTTGCGATCTTATTAAAAGTACTTCAATTTTTTTTTTTTGCCTGACTCAACAAACCTCATCAATAAAGCACAGATCACGTAGCGTACTTCACAAAATACGTATTGTTGTGACTTTAGCCCAAAGTGGCACTTGGACTTCGTGTGCGCATACATCATGCATACATACCCCTATGTACATGTGCATGTATGTATGTATGCACATATACTTACCACATAAGTACGATATTGTGTGTTTTGGCTTTTATTTTTGGAATAAACATAAACAACGTCAACAGGCAACAGGCAACCAGCAAGAACAACAATACAACAACAACATGAACAACATCAGCAACATTGCCAACGAACTAGAAAAAGTCTCGGCAGAGCGAGAAAAACCAGTTCCATGTGCTAGAACATGTTGCACACTGGGCGATCGAGATCGGAGCTGGTTGACTCAATATGGAGCAGCAGTTGCTTTTGGCTGCAATAACACCTTGCAAAATATACATATGTATATATAAAAGCACAAATTCAGCCCAGGCACGCGGCTATTTTGGGAGACACGCACACACACACACGCACAACAATTAATTCGCTTCCTGACGCAGCAACAGCGTCAGCATCAGCATCGGCAGCCCCATAAATGACACATTTTCGGAGCCAGAGCCGAGCCCAAGTCAGGAAGTCTAAAAATGAAGAAAACCGGTGCGGGTCGAGCCTTTCTGTGACTCTCTGCTGCGCTGGTGATTGAACGCTCTCAAGGATAACTGACAGCACATGCAGATGCGAAAGTACACCGTATGTACATATACCAATCAAGTGTACATACATACATACATACATATGTATGTAGCCCCCTTGGGGAGAGGGGGGCGGGGGCAGGCAATATCAGCGCAGTCGAGTTGACGCACTTGACAATGGCGGAAGCGTTTAACGAAACCAAACGCAACGTGATTTCAGCTGTTGAATTTTTGACTGTCATTAACATGTTAACATAAGCAGCCAAAAATCACACAACGTGGCCCAAATACGAATCAAAGTGATTTTTAAAATATTAATAAGCTAGCAAAAAAAAACAGAAAAAAAAAGAATGATATTTTGTAGTCGTGTGTCTTGTTTGTGTCTTCAACTGATACCGATAAGATAACGAAAACGAACACAGGGGAAGTGAATCAATGCAAAATGTAACGGAACAGAAAAAAGCAATGTGCTTTACATTTCTTTGCAATTTCTGACGTCAGTAAAATGCCTTGATTCGCTCTTCCTAACAGTTGCCTGTAGTGTGGTTGCATATGGGGAGCTGTTACTAACAGTCATATGTTAAATTACTGCGGCTAATGTAAAGAATAATTATCACAGCGTAAAGCCTCATTTTAAAGGCTTAAATATAACAAAAGTTGTACTCAGAACTTTAAATCTTATGCAATTTATTGACCATGAACGAAATAATTATATCAATTATATGTAAAGGTGTAGTCAAAAATAAATGAACTGTATTGAAAAATTGAAAGCATGGAAAAATGTAAATGCTACATATATCGAAAAATCTTTTAAGCTAACATAAATCTAACATTAGCATCGAGTATATAGTTTGTAAAGATTTTCTTGTCAAAAATTGCAGAAATGCTCGTAATATTTTTGTGTTTCATGTGATATAAATAAAAAGAGTATTACAAATAAAAATAAAAAAAATTACAGACAAACCAACGCACACACTTACACACACACACACCTACGCGTAGTCGCAGGGCAAATGAAGCCAAATGCAACAGCGCAATTTGCAATGTTCCAATGTCAAGCCAAAGCAGTCAAAGCTTAAGAACTTTATTATGCAAAAAGCGTGCCACAGTCGCAGGGAGCTTGAAATGTACGCCCACAAACAAACAAACACACACACACACACACAAACACGTTAGCACATGTGTATGTACATTCATGTGTTTGTGTGTGTGTGCACATTTGTATTTGTTATTGTTTTGGCGCTGTTGCCGAGCAAACCACTCTCTTTCTCTGCCTCTCGCTCAGAGCTCGATTGCGCGCGTATGTGTGTGCGAGTGTGTTTGTGTGTAGAATTTTATTGATTAGTCACAAGGCTGGCAGCACTGCAGCAGCAGCAGCAGCAGCAGCAGCTGAGTTGTGCTGTGATTTTTACTTGCAAGTCGCAGTCACAGGCAGCCACCCACGCATCAGCAGCAGGGGCAGAATTAGCAATTGCAGAGCAGGTACTCACCTTCAATAGGGGCAGGTTATTATCGCGTGCAGCATTGAATACGATGAATTTGTCATCCATTTTAGAAATGTGTTTGCTGGGCGACGCACTTTTGCATAAATAACAACTTTAAAACCTCACTCAAAATTTTGTGTTCCTTTTTAATTTATATGTTTAGCAAACAGCCAAAAAATTATTTTATTTTAATAAATTTTCTGCCGCTGCTTTCGTCGTTTTGGTTGCGAGATTGAGATTTTTCACTGCCTGCTGTGGATGTTGTTGTTATTGCTTATGTGAATTGCTAGTAATTTATTTTTATGTATGTATGTATATTTTTCTCACACAAAGAACTTGCAACCGAAAATAAATATACAATTCTTTCAATAATTGCACAATTATCGCCAGTCTACGTTATTGTTGCGTTTTTATTGCTCTGCTTCCGTATTTTGTTGCATTTTTTTGCGCACTCTTCTTCTGTGGCAGCGGCGGCGGCAGCGGCCAAAAGCAGGAAGACAAATTTCTTTGTACTATTTCTCTTTTGTTGTGTCGCTTCTGTTGCGCGGCGCGTTGAATATCTACTGCACTTAATTATATCGCGCCAATCTTCTGCCGTTACCACTCTGTGCCAGCTAGGTTTCTTGCGTTTTAAAATTCTTAAATATGATTTAATTAAAACACACAATCATCAGCGGCACAGTCGCGCGACGTCACGCACGAACAAGAAAAATATCACTGAAAAAAACTCTGTTAACATTTTCTTATAAGAGTGATCGAATAACAGTATAGAGATGTGGACGTGAGCAAAACGACAACACATGTATGCTCACGAGCCAAGCTGTTAGTTAAAGAGCATAGCCGCTTGGCCTTTTCTAGCATTCTGCTTAAGTCAATAGTTCTACAGTATAAGTTGCATAAATATAATTATTTATGTATCTAATATAATCATTACCAGAACGACCATATTTTGAAAGTTTATAATAGAAATAATCGGGAACTTAAGGAGCTCGTGGTATCTGTGCATGTGTGAAATTAGACATTGCACACCTCTAACACGTCTAGTACAGAGTATGTTAAGTAAATCGATATACTGTCAAGTTAACATACCATCGATTAGGGTGATATCGTAATGGTGTCAGACCTTACGTGGGCTATCGCTACAGCCATGCTATCGATAAATCGCCGCGCCATTTGAATTTGTAACAATGCAGAAATGTTTTTTTATAAGTATTTCTGCTCTTCACAATGCCGAACCTTACAGAATACAATTTTAAGATATGCGTTATAACACTTCTTAGCTCCGCATTGAATAAGAATTCTTATTAACATATTGATCGGATGTAATGGACCAGGCACAAAGTAAAAAGCGATAACATTTATTGGTTACATTCAGTTAGGACTGAAAAAACAATGCAACACGCTATTTTACATTGTCAACCACAACTTCGTTAATTTTTTAATAAACTGAAGCTCACGCGTACACAAAGAATAAATTCCAAAATCATTATATAAAAAGCGTTTTCTCTATTTTACAGCCAGTTTCTCCTCAATCCTAAGTTCGACATTGTGTGCCTTGCCTGATGTTGCTTGTACATGCAGTTTTAAACTACTTATTATCAAAATTGTTGCTGCTGCCGCTGCCGAAATGTTGTTTGTCACTTGTATCCACAATCCATTTGCAAATATGCGACGCCTACTAAATTGACAGCATTTGTCAGTGTTTGAATGAAAACGGCTCAACGGATTTGTGGTTTCTTTACGTTTTTAGAGTGTTTATTAAAAAATTAATAATTTGTGGTTCATCAAGAAGCGCCCCAAATTACTGTGGCTTCCTACGGAACGAGCAGCCTGAAATTGAAATGAAACCATATTGATTGGACGCCCAAAACATTTGTAATGAAATAGTTTACCTTCTGTCAGCTTGGCACGTCCGCCAGTTGGCTGGCACAGAATGGTGGCGCAACCAGCGCAGACCACAACGCCCTGGGCGTGACTGAACACGGTTGTGATTCTGTAGCATCCCGGGCACTTAACATCCATGAAGTAGGAGTTGGGATGCTGCACCAAGCGCTTCAGCTTGTGCTTGCGTTTCTCCTCAGCGGGTAGAGGGTGCAGTAAATCTTTTGCTAGCTGAAATTGGAACCAAACAAAATAATCACTGTTGGTTGGCCAAACAAATATGCTAATGCAGTTCTTGGTTATGTGTCACAGTTACAGTTCCAGCCAGAGTATTCGCAAATTCACAACACAGCTCAATATCAATATGCTATTGTATTTCACAACTGTCTGCAATCCATTTTGACACACGGGGATGCGCGCGTTCAGCATGCGTTGCCCACGAACGCACATATGGCTGGGGTGTTGCGGGATGCACTGTTTTAGTTGCTTAATGCGTGTATTATCACAGCAAATGCATATTTCGTATACACTACATTGCAATGCGAATGCTACCACACAGTTTTTGCGAATGCATTTGCAATTTTTCGTTGTTTAAAAGTGTATTTTTGTAAAATTTCGCACCCACCGGCATGTTTTTTCTTTCACAGCTAACACGGAAAAGGAAGTGGGCCAAATCGCAGCCAACTTAACAAGCAATAAACTACTAATAAATACCAAATTTGCTGTATTCCATTAATTTGGTATTTTTAATATTGCTCAGAGTGGCAGCTCATCCAAGACTGTTTTGGCGCCTTTTTAGCACTGGCAGCATATCGACATTTTACAGCACTTTCATCTGACACAAGATCCAAGCCGCAGGAAAATTAAAGGTAACAATGTCGACTCTGGATTTATGCGAAAAGTATTTTGAGACCCGTGATGTGTACAAGCTAATGGGCATTGCAAAGGACGCTAAAGAGAAGGAGATCAAAAAAGCATACCATAAGCTGTCGCTTCTGGTGCATCCAGACAGAGTTCCCGACGCGCAAAAAGAGGAATCCACGGAGAAGTTCAAAGTGCTCTCTAAAATTTACCAGGTGCTCACCGACACCCAGAAGCGCGCGCTTTTTGACGAGCAGGGCATCATAGATGACGACGATGAGGGCAAGCTGACCAATTGGCTAGACTTGTGGAGCAAGATATTCAAGCCGCTGTCAGAGGAGGATATTTCCAATTATGAAAAGGAATATGTTGGCTCCGAACTGGAGCGCACGGACATTAAGAAGGCCTATTTGGGCGGCAAAGGCTGTATGAACTACATTATGAACCATGTGCCGTTCATGAAAGTCGAGGACGAGCCCCGTTTCAAGGAAATTGTTGCCACCATGATAGCAGCCGACGAGGTGCCCGAGTATAAGATATTCACCGAGGAGCCAGCCGCCAAGCGTAATAAACGCCACAGGAAATATGCACGGGAATCGAAGGAGGCCACAATCATTAAGGAGCGCATCCAGCGCCGTCGCGAGAAGGACGCTGAAGCGGCACAAGAATCGTCCGGCAGCGGGAATCTGGAGCAACTTATATTGTCACGCAAAAATCAACGCGAGTCCAACTATAATTCGCTGATGGATCGACTGCTGGAGAAGTACGGTGGCGAGGATGATTCCGATACAGTTGACTTCAGCGCCCTGGACAAGAAAAGGAAGCTAAAGAAGTCGAAACAAGGGCAAAAGGCTGCAAAGATAAACGGTGTGAAGAGCGGCCGGGTGGAGAAGCCAAAAGCTTAGACACCCGTTCTAGGCCCCATATTTGTAGATTTAACATCGCTAAATTTGTGTAGTTTTAGTTCTAAATGTATTTATATTAAAAACTTAATCTCTAATATGATTATTGGGTGCAGCTAAAAGTCGTATTTGTTGAAAAAGAATATATGTGTATACATTTTTCAACATATATTCGACTTAATCATAAACAGCCCAACGAAAGCAAGGGTTACATATACACTTCTTTGCATAAGAAAGTCACTTACTTGCAACACACTTAAATATATAAATATTAATAATAGAACTATAAGAATTACTTGGTTGTCTTTTTGCTCAGCATTTTATCATATCAATTTTTGCGCTGCATACCGAGCGTTAAGGGCTGCCAACTCGATTGAATGCGGGTAGCGCCATTTTTTACCACAACAACTTATCGACCATCTATCGTGAACGGTAAACAAAAGAAAATTTGTTGAAAATCGAGGTAAAAGTGGCCCACAAAACCATTCGACCTGTGTAAAGACATCCGATGGACACAATAAAAAAGACGCCGGCCGTTGCAAGTAAATGTCGTGTTTGCCTAGGAGAATACGACGAAAGCACCATGAAAGCACTTTCCACAGAAAATAACGATGCTGATAACGACAATACTGAGGGCGAAGATGAAGGCATCCACAGCGCAGCCTTTGATAAGCAGCATTTGAGCAGGAGTATTGAGTACTGTTGCGGCATTAGAGTAAACCAAGCCTGAATGAGGTCGACACATATTCTAAAAAGCCTATTTACAGATACGCCGGTCAATGCAGTTGCCATCCCTTGTCTGCGAACGCTGCTGCGATTTTGTGCGCATGTGGTTCAGCTTTCGGCAAATGTGCCTCAATTCGCAAGTGTACTTGGAGAGCTCGTGCTTACATGATGAGAAGCCAGACGACCAGATCGACGCCAGCAACAGCGATTACATGGAATATCTGTACGAGACGTTGCAGCTGCAAACGCTCGATCGCCACCACACAAACGAAGAGCTGGAGTCTGGTGGCTCCCCTGGGATGGGTAGCGATTATGTTGTCGACTATGACGATGATAGCATTGTTGCAGACGCAATGCCGCCGGACGAGCTGGACGAGTGCCCAAAGCACTATTTGCCTGAAATAATAACCGAGCTGGAGGCGTATGAGGCTGACGAGGGCGAACCCATAGAAGTCGAGCCTACTCTGGTATATCCAGACGAAAGCCAAACAGCGGAAGCTGACCTACCACTTAAGATGGAGCATTGTGATGTCGATTATGATGATGATAATGATGAGTTCTTGTCGCCAACGCCATCGCCTGAACCAAAGCCCACCACGACAGCTAAACGCAAGCCGGGTCGCCCTCGCAAACCGGACAGTGAGCTAAAATCAAAGCGTAAGATTAAAGGCGAGCCGCTCTCGAAAAACGAGCAACAGACTGAGGACATGCCCACGAAATATATGTGCAATCTGTGTGGCAATGTCTATCCGAAGAAGGCTGCATTCACGGCCCACATGATGGCACACACCGACTACAAGCCGCACCAATGCGAGTAAGTTTCATTTACTGGCAAGGTAGAAAAGATTTTCCAATTAACGTTTCATATTTTTCCCAGAATCTGCTGTAAGTCCTTTCGTCAAATGGGCGAACTGCGCGCACACATACGCCGTCATACCGGGGAGCGGCCCTATAAGTGTCTGTACTGCGACCGCCATTTCTACGACCGCAGCGAGAAGGTTCGCCACGAGCGTGTGCACACCAATACGAGGCCATATGAGTGCAAGGAGTGTGGCAAGACGTTCACGCACACGGCCATCCTCAAGAACCACAGCTTGGTGCACTCTGGCGAAAAGAACTTCAAGTGAGAAGAGAACTTCCTAAGGACTTATCGCTTATATATTTGTTAATATTATTTTGTATAATCTTTGCAGCTGCAACATTTGCTCCAAGTCATTTACATTAATGCACCAGTTGAAGGCACATTTGCAGACGCTGACACACAGAAGCAAAGAGGAGCAGGCTTTCGCCAGCTCCAGCAGCTACATTCTGAGCCAGGAGAATCTGGAATAATTTAAGATATTCTAAATTATAGTGGATTAAACAACATTGATGTATCAGTAGATCATAATTAAATTCGTATTGTCCCATATTGTTGACTTCATTGAATGAAACAGCCTTGATATTCTTTTGTATATAGTTCGTACTATATATATACCATATCTTTATTGAACTTATTTTTGGAATCATTGTATTTATATTTCTTGCTCTCTTTCGCGTACTATACCCGATAAGATAGTGATAATATTAATAGATGATACAGCTACCATAGGAGCAATTTATTTAATAACTGAAATTATAATTAATGTTTAATTCGAGCAACACTTAGCTGCTGGAATAGTCGCCTTCATCCTGATTATACAGCATTATGTCCACTTCGTAGCGATGAACGTGCGTTCTTTCGTGAGCTTTTAGCTGATGCGGCAGACGAAAGCCCTTGTTGCAGGTCAGACATTTGTGTGGCTTTTCTTTGGAGTGCGAAAGGGCGTGCGCCTTCAATGTCGTGGACAGCGAGAAGGTCTTGGCACAAATGTCGCATGCATATGGTCGTTCATTTGTGTGCATTCTGTAAGTCACGAAGCGATAGTTAGTGAAAATGCTTAAATTATTAAACACCAAATTAAGTACCGTTCATGCTTTCGATGGGTGCTGCGGTCCGCAAATCGACGACCACAGTGGTCACATTCGTATGGCTTTTCGCCCGTGTGGGTACGCATGTGAGTTGTTAGATTGCAGGCGGCGTTAAAGCGTTTCGAGCACAGCCTGTAAGTATGGATATATATAAATAATTGCATTCGACGGTGTCACAGTATAAACTTACTCGCATTCGTATTTCTTTTCGTTGCGATGGGTGCGCAGATGCGATTTAAGCTGTGTATGATTTGGAAATGAATTGCCACACATGGAGCAGCTGTGCTTGGGAAAACTTGATAGCTGACAGGCAGCTCCCAGGTCAACCGTAAGAGAAGCAACAGCCGAAGCAGGCTCTTCTATTTGCAACCGCTCCAATTTCAGCGCAGGTTTTCCTTCAGATTCGGACTGGCTGTCCACAGCGAGACGGTTCACCGCTTGAGTCCCAGATTGTGTAACTGGCTCAATAACTTCAGCTGCATAACTATCAGGCTGTCCGTAATCGTTGTCATCATCGTCTTCATCGTTCTCCGCCACATCTGTTATGATGTACTCATTGCCTTCGTTGTCTGTCGCCTCGCCTTCAGTCAGATTTAGCACACATTTGCTGACGACAAGTAAATAATCCTCGTCGTTCTTTTCAGATGTGTCTGCCAACTTTTCCAATACAGTTTGCTTTTCTGACATGAGCTCAAGCATTTCATTTTTATTATCTGGCGAGCTACTTAAATCTTCGTCCGATAGCCTCTGTGCTTCAATAGTTTCTGGATGAGGCGTCTCTTGCTCTAATAAACTCTTCATGAGTTGTGTTTTCAATCTTTTTTTCTGCTGTAGATTGCGTTGAGATATGCTTTGTTTGGGACCACGAGCATCCTTCCCCACTTTCGATGGATTGCTGTCATCTGCGTCCTCATCTAAGGAGATACTCGGAAAGCATCTGCCAGAGGACATGGTGCGACGTACAACATTTCTTAGATGCGCATCGGCCCGGCGACAGCCGATTAGAAATGTATGCACCGATTGAAGATTCTTAATACAATCCGTGCATATTTGATCAGGCAGCCCATCGTCTGGTTTCGCCTGTATATAATCGTTATGAAAATAATCTCATAAAATTTCAAATTGCGTGGGTCTTACCACAATTCCAGCATATTCTTCCAATTGCTTCGCTAATCTGACATCCTCGAAGAGCGGCCGCAGCTGGGAACTTGTATCGGCTGTGCAGGTGCGGCACATGGTCCATTTTATGCAAATTTCCATTCTTAATACTTAACAATTACAATATAAACGCAATTAAAACACACCCGTTCATTTTGCGCCACAGCAGAGCTTATAACCCAGCACGTCAGTTTTGACATGTTCTCACTGCAGCCGAAACGCGCGTTCTGTGCCTACCTGTTAGCAGAACTAGCGTTTTATTAAAACATGTTTCTAGCTTAAGATTCATGCCTGGCAGTTCAAGAAAATTCCTTTTCTTAGCTCTAGAAAATAAGAAAGGCTCAATAGAAACGATGATTTTTTGTATATATTGTGCAAAATGACTGGTAGACCATATATTTGATTTTCCTGAATCATGAAATCGCATCCCAGACAATGGGAATGGCAAAAAATCGCCATTCACCATGGAAGTCGCTTCTTCAATAGAATACCGAACAAAAAAGTGGTTAGATAATGTGGTCACACTCGCTTAGTGTCAAAAATAAAAAATAAAATCTAAGGACAAACTGCAAATAAATTAAAGACGCCTTATTAACATATTGTCTTGTTATTATTGTTAAGAGATTAGCAAAAAAAAAATATCAAAGCATGCCAGAATATATGATATGCCGAATATGCTTAACAGAAGACATGAATGTTGACACTATGACACCACTCTACGACGAACAGGACGTCCAATGTCCCCTAGTTCGGAAAATAGAGGAAATCGGAAGCATTAAGGTACGCCCACAGACATATACATACATCAACCTGCACATTTTTCATCATGTCAATTACATTCAACAAATAGCTACCGCCACTAGAGGATATGCCAAGCCTTCTCTGCTGCAGTTGCGTCGGCAGCCTGACCAGCGCCTATAAATTTCGGGAATTGTGCCAGGAAAGCGAGCGAACCTTTGCCAGTAGCGTTGTGAAGGTATAATCTCCAAGTCCACTTAAGTAAATGTAAATGGCTTGAATGTAATTTTGATTGTTGAGTTTTTCAAGGCTGAATTAAAATTGGAGCCCACGGATGATCCTTCACAAATTGAAAGTGATACTGTGGAGTACATTTACGAGGCTACCAACGAGTTTATCGATCCCGACGATGATATTGAATTCGATGCTATGTTAGAAGAGCGCTTGGAAGAAACAATCGAGGAGGCGGAAACTGACGCAGCCTACGATGATTTCGAGGGGACTCGAGATCTGGATGACAAGAACATATTGCTTGGCAATGCCAGTGACAGTGACTACGATCCCAGTGAGCGTCTGCGAAAGCCAAAGGTGCGAAAATCGAGGCATGGCAAACGTGGACGGGGACGGCCTCGGAATCCAACACATGCAGGGCTGAAGCATGGCCAGGCGAAACCAGCTACTGCTGCCACGGCCAGTAAATCAAATGAGGACACCTCTACAAACATCATGTGTGAAATATGCGGTAATATCTACTCGAAGCGAGCCGCCCTCAATATTCACATGCGTCGTCACATGTCCGAGAAGCCTTTCGAATGCGAGTATGTTTGTAGACTAGCTGACACAGCACAAGCTTGCAAATGATTTACTTGAGTAACGATAACGAAACCAAGCTGTAAGAGTTGTCTTTGAGGTGTCGCAGAATAAATACCCTTCCAGATACAGGACTTGCGATACATGTTTACACTTAGCCCATCAACGATTTTAGTCCGATTGTTCCATAATAATGCTGTAATGTTGACAAGATTTGCCCCAAATGTTGGGAACTAAAGGAGAGCGTCGCTACATATACAAATTTAAATATGTCGCCGATAGTTAAGATGCATAACATCCGTGAACTCTGGTGTTTTTAAACAAAAGCTTTTTTGTTAGCTATAAAAAAACGTGGTCCGGTCAGTCCGATTCCTATTTAATGTATCTAGTCCGTCCGATTTTCATATTATATATCTATGCCAAGTTAGGAGATTGATAGCTCAAAAACCGAGAAGTATCAGGAATAAATTACCTTAATGATAACTCCTGATGCAAGGGTATAAAGCGTAATTATCATTACTTAACTAAATTTCATTTGCTGAAGAATTAATTTTTTACTGATTCCATTCTGGCAGCTTACCATATTTGTTTAATGCTTTAGTCTAATTTTTCATTTTAAAATTCCTTTTTCAGGATCTGCGCTAAGACGTTCGCCGGACCCTCAGAGCTTAATCGGCACATACGAGTGCATACAGGCGAAAAGCCTTTTACGTGCAAATACTGTTCCCGCTCATTTGCTGATCGCAGCTCAAATATACGCCACGAAAGGTGCTGGCTAAGGCAATAATTTATCATTGTTTACATTATTAATATTATTTTTCTTACAGAACGCACACAAACGAGCGACCCTTTTCCTGTGGAACATGTGGCAAGTCGTTCTCTTATTCGAATGTCCTCAAGAATCACATGTTGACGCATACGGGCGAAAAACCCTTTTTGTACGTTTGTCTTTTTGCATATGTTCAAATCTAATGGCTAAGTCTCGCCACATTTTGATAAACCCTATTTTAATTGAATATATTTTTTTTCCCAGATGCTTGCCGTGCAATAAGACATTCTCCCGCAAACACCAGCTGGAGCAGCACATCGGAACTATGACCCATCAGCAAACTGAAAGAGCTCTGCAGACTACCGATGCGGTACGTCATTCTGAGATATATTAGTCATTCGCAACGGATTAATCAATTATTTAGTTTTTACATAAGTTAAATTAAAATCCTTACTGTAAATAAAAAGTACAAATTTAAGAATTCACATCTTTCTCAGAAAAATACAATTAAAAATCAAAATGAACTGGGTAATCTGTTGCCTGAGCCTTCAGTTTGTGACTGCGACAGTTCATATTCTTCATTACATTTTCACAATCTTATACCCGTGTAGAGCGTATTAGAATTATTTTCTGTTCGCACAATATATAATATAATCAGGAGCTGAGTCGTTGTAGCGTTGTTCATCTGCCATTTATATTCAAACTAGACTTTGTTCTTGAGCTTGATGAAACTTGACATAGATCAGTTCATTGATGCCTTGTTTTATACCAAAGCAGGATCACTAAATTATGAAGCTTATAAAAATAAATAAATAAGAATATATGGTGATCGTAAAATTCGAAGACTAGATTGAATAGATATCGACAGGCTAACAGAATTATGATGATTCAGCTGATTGTATATGCGTGGCACTGCTTTATGTATCAAGCGATGCTTGCTAAGGTAACTCGAGCCGAAAAACCATTTACTACATTCGGAACCCTCGCAAGGACGACTTTTAATGTGGCGTCTCTCGTGTTGACGAACTGTACCAATATTCGCAAATCTAGTGGAACGGTAGCTGCATGCGTAGGGACGCTCGCCTGTGTGTTGACGAATGTGACGGATCAACTCCTTTTTTGTAGCGAAAAGTTTTCGGCAAAACCCTACAAAATTGATGTGTGTTAATGTAACTCAATCATCGGCCTTTATGTATCTTGCACATAAAATTCTTAATGCCCGTATGCCGGAACTTATGCTCTAGAAAGTTGCTTATATTATTTATAGTCTGCTCTCAAAGTTTTGCGAACACTTTTCGTCGGAGTTTTCTCTGCTTTACATTTTGCTGTTCCTTGGTAAGCATTCAACTCAGGCTGTTCCCTAAAATCAATTACTGGACGCTGGTCAACAAATTCTTCAATATCGGCGTTACATTTTTCAATGGTTGTAAGAAAGAACTGACTTTTTGAGTAACTATCTTCGTCCTGGACTTCCTCAATTAAATCCTCAAAATCGTATTCAAGTTGATTTCTTTTGGGTCGCAAAAAACTATTTTTGAATTAAGTTTTCGATTAACTGCTTTTCCGAGATAATACAGCTTTGGCGAAACTTTAGGGCGCATCCCAAGTCCATAAGGCACATATTGCAAATGTACCGTGGATGGCCTTGGATTTCTGTAATCTATTAATTTATATTTAAAAACAAATTTTCAGCTGAAACATGAAAGCGAATATTTTGTTCACAATTAAAATTCTTGCTTCCTCTTATTTGAAATGCATTCACAGTGATTCTTAGTATCCAATAAACAGCTGTTTCCCTTTATAGAAGGAAAAAAAAACTGTATATTGAAGCATTTGTTTGTTTACTAAAAAATTAAAATATTAATATGTTAAGTTTCATAAAATAAAAAATGACGCTCAAATGCCGTACCTGCGGAACTGTAATTTACAACATGAACGCCAAGAATCTCTTTGAGTGTGAGAACTCTGAAATCCTAACGAACATTGAAATAGTAGCTGGAACTGCGGTAAAGATTTATGCTTCAATATATATTACATGCATTTAATATTTGTTTTGCTTACAGCTGGAAAGCAGTCCAGAGCTGCCATCCCACATATGCGCTTGCTGTCTTCTTGACTTGAAACAAGCCGTATATCATATAAAAGTATTCCGAGAGCGCTGCATCAAGACTCAAGAGCAACTGTTGAGCACCCAGGTCCAGGTTGAACCCTCTTCGGAAGGAGACTCGGAATTAGTTTATGAACTCAACAGCTATGATAATATTAAACTGGAAAATAATACTAATATCGAGGAAGTATCAATTAAAAGCAATAGAACAAAGGATGACTTCGATGATGAGGAAGAAGAGTTAGCGGAGTTTCATGAAAATGAAGAGGACAGTTCAAATGATATGGAAGCTAATTTTGTTGACGGCTTCACCGAAGATATCGACTATTTGATTACAGGCGTTCCAAACGAAATGCGCAGTATATGCGCATTTAGTAGCGATAGCCAAGGGACAAACGAAGAGTTTCGGGAAAGCGCAGACAATGATTTAAGTCAATATGATAGCTACATCGACATAAGTACATCTCCTAGTTTCAAGAGCTGCAAAACTAGAAGCTTTACCAATGCCCTGATCAAACCCCAAGAAACCAGTGAAAGCGCAAATAAGAAAGCATACAAAGAAAAGTCGAATGGTAGCAGCTTAGATACTAAATCACACAAAGTCAAAAAAACCTACATCAGCTGGAAGAACCTGACGGAGGAGCAAATTGTCGAACGACGGAGGCAACAGCGGCGTCGGGACTGCATATGTGATCAGTGCGGCAGGCATTTCACTGACCAAAGCAACTTTAAATTGCATATGTTGCGACATACCGGCGTCAAGAACTTCAAGTGCAAAGAGTGCAATAGACTTTTCTACACCGAACACCTGCTGCAGCTGCATGAGCGGACCGTGCATCGCGGTGAGCGGCCATATGCCTGCAAGTACTGCGATAAGACTTTCAACAGCAGCACAACGCGTGTAATCCATGAACGGTGACTGCTCCTCAGGTGACAAGTGTGTAGTTCATTTATTTAGGAAACCATTTTTGTATATTTTAGCTCCCATACTAATGTGCGTCCGTACTCATGTGAATATTGCGATAAATCATTTATTTCCACATCTGCTCTCAAGCGACATGATTTGACTCACAATGGCGTGCGATCATTTTAGTAAGTATTTTTACTTCAAAGAGCCTTGAATTTATGCTTATAACTATTTTCAAACTTTCCAGCTGTAAAATATGCGACAAAACATTTCAAAGAAATACTCATTTAAAGGCTCATTTACGTTCCAAACTGCATGCCTTAAGAGAAACGAATATTAATTTATTGCGAGAGTTTGACTGAAAAAAAGTTTGCTCTTGTATATGTTATTAATGTCTTAGATGTAAATAGCTAATGATTTTCCTTAAATTAAGGTTGACATCTAACAATTTTTTATTTTCCGTTTATGTTTCTTGCGGTATTTTTTCAGCGGTGACAACCAGTTGTGTCGCCTAAAAAACAAATAAACTTGATAAACGTGACTTAATTTAAATTTGTTTATATTCTCGCACAAATCTTTTAAATTAATCATATTCAGAAACAAGTCTTACTTTTTGCTAGAATTAATTACCGCCAGAAACATCGAGATTGAATAATAAAAATCTTAATCTATGCATAGGTGTATAAATTAAAATTGTTGTAAGCCTGTTTTAGACCAAAATTTTATCATATTTTCTTGGAATTGTAATATGATGATGTTATTCTAATCAAAATTTAATAACTGTTGAAAGAAATACAGTGTTTACATATTGATATAATTGCAAAATCCCGACATCAGTATATTTATGACAGTATAATCGTATTTTTTGGTATATTTCTTTTTATCAATGAACGGTATTCTTTCAGATTCAATATTCGGTCGCGTTGTCAGCTTCTGTCCTGTTCACAAATCAAAAGATTTTTTTAGATTTAATAAATATGGAAGATTTTTGCCGTACCTGTGGCAAAACGGTGAACGCAGAAAGTTGCATCAACATCTTTTCTCCCATGGGTCGTCGCCTTTTGCACTGTGTGCGCACCATAACAAACTGTTGGGTATGAAACAACGTATTAAAGCCAATCCAAATACTAATTTCAATTTCTTTCAGCTGGAAAATGTCGCCGGGTTTCCTATCTATATGTGCGAGGACTGCCAAACGCTGGTAAAGAAGGTTAACTCCTTTCGCAAACGCTGCTCAAAAATTGAAGCATTTATCGTAAAACGTAAGGCCAAATTGAGCTCAAACAATATTTCTCCTGTAACATCAGACCAAGCCAAGATTTCTGACCCACTTCGTATTGAGGAACCAGAGCTTGTAGCTGTCGATATAAAGGTGGAGACAACGCCCGCACAACATCAGCAGATCGACGATGATGTTGATAATCAGCTGCAGGAAGACTTTGAAGAAACGAGCGAAAGTTTTTATGGAGATCAGCCTGATTCCGATGGCTATGCGGATATATCTTTTGATGAGGATATTGATGCATCTCCTCATGCTGCCACCCAAGCCGAGCCTGAATTACACCCAAAGAGTCCAGCGCACATTGATCCACATAGAAAATCTAAACTGGGTTCCCGCAAGTATACAATGCGTGTGGGAAAGAGAACTATGTACATTAAACTGACCAACGATAAACAACCGAAACGCATTGTGGATCGCGAGCGACAATGGGCATCGGCACGACCCTGCATCTGTGAGCACTGTGGTCGCCAATTCAAAGATGGCAGCAATCTCAATGTGCACCTGTTGCGGCACACTGGCACCAAGAACTACGAGTGTCCGGAATGCAACGAAAAGTGCTACACATTGCACCTTCTGCGACGCCATCAGCTGAAACACACTGAAGGTCCCTACGAGTGCACCTTCTGCGGACTACAATACAGTACAAACAGTTCGCGAGTGCGCCACGAACGGTAAGTAAAATGTAACTAAGGGGCACATAGATGTTTAATACCTTGATTACAGTGAGGCTTGCAAAAAAGGTCGAGCGCCGCAGTCAAAAACGGAGCTCATCAAACGAGGTGAACGCACATTTCAGTAAGTCTAATTAGCTAAAAACCTTGTTAAAGTTTTTAAACTTGTCCTATTTTTATTAAAAGCTGTGACGTCTGTGATCTATGGTTTCTGCGTGCTGGCAACCTAACCCAGCATATAAATTCATCAAATCATATTGCCAACGCGCGTATAAAAAACAAAAAGTCGCAACTAAAACAAAAGAAATCACTAAATATGAATGCTATATCATGAAAAAAAAAAAACTTAGTCAATTTGAGTATTTTTTTTAATAAAATTAATTAAAAGAATGCGCAGTGTACTTTACATAACTTAAAACAATTGATAGTCTATATTCCTAGTTTAATCTGATTCATCGACGATTTCAATCTTTGTCGGCTTTTGCAGATTTTCCTTATGCATTTTACTGAACTGATGCGAATATAAATTGAATTTATATCGAAAGAAAGCGTTGCAGACGTCACACCTGAAAGCAAATATAATATATATGTTAGGTATAATTATATTAAGTTACCAATCAATTGCCAAACCTATAGGGTCGTTCACCAGTATGAATACGTTCATGTTCCTTTAGCTTACTGCGTACATAGAACCCCTTCAGACAAATGTCGCACTCAAATGGACGTTTACTATCGTGCTTCATTTCGTGCTTCTTTTTCGATTGGGGATCTGCAAAGCTCATATCGCAAAATTTGCATTTGAAAGGCTTGGCACCGATGTGCAGATTGTTATGCCAATTTAGTGAATATTTATTCGCATAGCTCTTGTCGCAATACGAACAAAAGTGCCGAACAATTTCCTTTTGGTCCTGCTCATTCTGCGGCTGCTGCTCCTGTTGCTCATCTGACAATTCAATTCGTTTGTTCAAGCGATTCACATTCCTGTGAATACGTGGAGACGCTCCATGAACCTTTCTGTAATGACGATTTGTATATTAATGATGCACAATTTGTTGTGTCAAAGATTCACCTACTTTTCGTGCAGATAACGTGTGTTAGATGAACCAAATGCTTTTCGACAATAATTGCATTCAAATGGCAGTTCTCCTCTGTGCCTCACCCGTATGTGAATATTTCGCATATAGGCATCGTAAAATTTCTTAGGGCACTCGGAGCAGGGATAGTTTTTTGTCCGCGTATGGCGCAGCATGTGTATCGTTAGATTACATCTCACACGAAAAGAGGCGCCGCACTGATCGCATACATGATTTAGTGGCATGGCTCTGATTTGTTCACGACGTATACGATTTTTTTCCTCTTTTGTGCGTTTTGGACGTTTCGGTTTTGGTTCCCGAGGTTTTCGTTTTCGATTTCTTACGGCGTTTGGCCTTTGGGTCGTTGCCTTTCTTTGTCGTGGACGAGCAAGCTTATCCTTACCCCTATATTCATTTAGAAGGTCCTCATAAATCTGTGCACCCAATGCAATACTACTTGGATCTGCAGCCGATGAACGTATTGTCAGTGTCGTTTGCTGTCCCGCTGCAAGGGACAAAGGCTCAATTACAGTCGTTTCACCATTTTGATCTTCCGCCGGAAATACCGAAACAAAATCATCTTTTGCATCATTCTCACAAATCTGCACTAGCTCTGAATCTTGTGCATTCAAAATTTCTTTGCCGTTTTCTTTGATTATAGTCGGAAACTCGTCAACGTTGCCCCCTGTAAACTGCAGTTCTGCCCGGATACATGTTTCTCGAAAATCAATGGCTGTGCGCAGATTATTGACGCATCCTGAGCACATGAACGGTGACATTCCCTCTTTGCATTGGACCTGCAATACGAATATTTGTATATTCAACTTGGTGAAATTAAAAGACACTCACCCAAATGCCGGTAATAACTTCAATGTGATATAACATCACAGCATTTTTTTCGTCGCAAAGATCTTTAGTATTTTCATCAACAACAAAAAGCATATAGCAGGTGCGACACCTAATCTCATCACTTAGTTTTTCATTATTGCTGCTACTTTTTGTGCACAAATCTAACTCTGCCCTTTCCTCGGCTAAAGGATCGCTTTCACTGGGCGTCGGTGTAAATGGAATGAAGGCATTGCCAGTAGCACTCACAAAGTCGGGCACAGAGACAATGCCAGTATTTCGGATAAAGTCTGGAGCTATGACAATTGCTCCGCTGGCTTCAGCTGCTTCTCGCGCTGCCGCCTCCTCTAGCAGCTCGGCGACCAATTTCTTGTTCTTTCGCTTTTCAGATCGCTCTCGTTCAACAGCACTTTCATCGTTTTTGTTGATGCAAGGCACGGCTCCTGGTCTCAGCGTTCTCTTTGAGCACAGGCCTGCAAATCGCAATTAAAGTTGATGGGCGAAGGTTAAGTTAGCTATAAACAATAAGACAAACCCATTTGAAATTGTAATGCTCCTTGGATATCCTCCTCTTTAAAGTGCTCATTACAAATGACGCTCTTCAGAGGAGCCTTTAGTTTCTCTTTGTTGTATTTGCGACAAAACGCAACCCATTTTTTTAAAATTTCCGGGTTTTTTGGAAAGCTAAAGAAACTCAATTGCTGGGAGTGTTTTTGTCTTGACTTGAACTTGTTGGCGCAGTTTTGCACCGCACACTTCATTTTACTATAATTTATTTTTATTTGTGACGTCGCATTGCAGACCTAGTGCCAGGGTTGGCAAACAACTACTAGCCCTGCAGTATGCTATCGATATGCGATCGATTTTTTCAAATCACCGATAACTTACCAACTGGCGGGAACAGTAATTTAATAACAAACAGTCAATTGGTTAAAAACAATTTTAATTTTTTTATTCTGAATCAACTCCAGTCTTGTCTAGTTTTTGCGTAGCATTTGTCTGATGAAACTTCGAGCGGTAGTGAGCACGTAAGCTTGACTTCCGATTAAAGTACACATTACATATATCGCAGCTGTAAAGTTAAAATATGTTCAATAAGAATTACAAGAAAACTTCGTGTATTTATATATACCAGAAAGGTTGTTCCCCAGTGTGCACGACAGCGTGAGTATCCAAAATGCTTTTCTTTCTGAAAGACTTGTTGCATAACTTACAAGTAAATGCTGGCACCTCTGCACTTGATTCCAAATACTCCATGTGGCTCCTGCGAAAAATCGAAATTTTATAAAGAAAACGTAAAATGAAGAATAATTGGTACCGTTGATGTCGTAATCGTGCCATGCTGTTCGCAAAACGTTCGCCGCAATATTTACAGGCATAAGGCTTTTCGCCTTGGTGCTGTATACGTTGGTGCAAATTGATTAAATGCTGTGTGTAATCCTTATGTCCGCACTCTTGGCATTCAAATTGTTTAACTCCCATGTGCCTCTGCAGATGTCGATTTAAGTTGGCCTTATCATTAAAATGCCTGCCGCACTGATCACAGAAATAATTGCCCAACCTCCTAATCCTCTTGTTAGGCGAATGGGACGCGCTGCTGGACGGTGAGCTCTCTTCTTGGATCTCACTTACTCTATTCTTTTTCGCTTTCGATGGTTTAATTGTTTCATTCGTCTGGATGGAGCTCTGTAATCCTCTGTAAGAGTTGTGGGTGTTAGGCACAAATGGTAAAGACTGTTCATTATCAAAAACAGTCTCAGCTAAGTCAAAAGCGGTCTGAAAGATATTTTCTTCGTCTGTCGTATCATTCAAGTGTCTTTGACGGTGTCGGCTAAAATTTGATTTGTCATCAAAATTCATGCCACATTGTCTACAAAAATATCTCCGGGGTTGAATATGAGATGTAATTTTCGGATGAATATCCGGCACAGATTTCTTATCTTCACTTGAACAAATACGGAGCGGACACGAAACGCGTGAAATTCTGGGCGGCATCTGTGGCACTTTATGCGACTTTTGGGTAAATGCAGACCCTGTTTCATCGCAATTCAGTTCTTCTCCATCCTCGAGCTCAATAAGTCCACTATTATCATTTGATAGCGGATCACTGTCATTGCTTTTAGAGCTATGCTCTAAGACAAATGGACAAATGGATTTATGGTTGGTCTGTTTCTGTTCCAAGTTTTTACGCATCAAAACGGTGTTGGTTTTTATACAACGCTCTCGGAATGCTATGGCATGTTTCAAGTCCAGCAGGCAGTATGCGCAAATCATTCCTGGCATATTTAACTCATCTGTTAACTATAAATTTATTCAAATGAATACATTTTGGTGTCTGCTTCGAAACAATAATCCTTACCCAAATGCCAGTTAAGGCTTGTATTTTCTTCAAAATCTCATCGCCATTATCTGCGAAAAGGTTTTTGGCGTGGAGACGGTCGATCTGTTTGCCACAAGTCCTGCATATAAATGCAACTGACATTATAAGACGGTATTTGTAATACTATTTTGGGTTTGTTTATATGTTGTGGCACCTGTAAGCCATATAGACAGAGCTGTTATTCTGTTTACAAAATTCTTCGTTTACTGTGAATAGCATATTAGACAAAAGCCAGGTGAATGGCTGCTCAATTGAATAATAAGAAACAGTATTTTGAAATTGTATTAAAATTAATAGTCACAACATTTTTTATTTCGCTCGCGAGACCAGTTGGTTTCGGTTTAAAGCTATTTACAACAACATAATCATATCATAATCAACGTATAATCATATTCATGAGCTGATCAATTTTATTCCTAGCTAAGAATTCATTAAATTCATTCATTAAACAGCGCTCCCGAAATGCTCCGGCAAGGTTTTATTATTTGAATATTTTAAAAGATTTTTTGGGTTCCAGCCATGCATCTGGTTTCTACACGTTTTGCAGAAAACAAAAATACACATATCACAAAAGGGAAACTTGATTTAAATTAGTTTATTTAATTTTAAATAGTTTATACAATTTTAACAAACATTGATAAGAAACATCAAAACAAAACCAATATATATGCCAATAGAGACATGCATATGTACATATATTAACAGTTGTAATTAATCAAACCAGATAAGGATATTGTGGCTATCGATGATAATAAGAGCAGCAACTTTGACTAAGCTTAGTTATTTTTCTTTTTAATAATAGTGTTGCAATATAAATAAATACGTATAAAAAATATATATTGTATAAAAATAAATATTGTCAAATATTTTTCTTGGCCGTGCGTGTTTTTTCAATTGTTTTCGACTGCGTCACATTAAAACTTTTTTAAACATCAAAATCTTCAATAATTGAATCAATGTCAGATTCCACATCGGAGATCGCCTCAATAATATTGAATTGTTTATCCAGCGCCTCGGTGGCTCTTTTTTGATGTTGCTTTGAACGGTAATGAATTTTCAAGTTCGTATTTCGGGGAAATCCCACATTGCATATTTCGCAACTGAAAGATAATATCGGCTTGTAAACGATAGAGAAATTAAAAACGTAATTTAACAATACCGATATGGTCGTTCGCCTGTGTGCAGGAATTCGTGTTTATTTAAGCAGGATTTTGTGAGATACGTTTTTCCGCAAAGTCTGCAGGCATATGTTAATTTCCGTGTATGCTTTACACTGCATAAGAAAGACAATAATAGTAATGCAATGCAATGCAAATACATACAGTATTACCCATACCGTTCATGCCGACAGCGGCTGGTGCTCGTGAAGAAACGCTGATCACAATATTTGCATGCGTATGGCATTTCGCCTTGGTGCCTAACGCGTATGTGCAAATTGAGTAAATGCCGTGTAAAGTACTTTGTGTTACATTCCTCGCACTCAAAGTTCTTCACACCTGTATGCCGCAATATGTGCACTTTCAAATTGCTGGAATCTGTAAAGCATTTGCCACATTGGTCGCAGACGTAGGTCTTGCTTATACCAGGTTGACTCGCATTACACTTTGTTTTGTTTCTGGATCCATCGGATGTGGCACTATCATAATCTTCTGACGCTGATTGCTGAGCTTCCTCCATTGCAATGCGGTTGTTTTTCCCAACTGAAGATGCTTTGGCAAGACTTAAAATATTAATAGTCTTATCGCAATCTGCCTCTGAGTGTGTTTCCTGTGCTCGGCCCAATATGATAACACGTCTTCTAAGCTGACCTGAAGAATCTCTCGTTCTTGTGTTGATGCTCAATTGTTGTTTTGGTGAGCGTGCGCGAACAATTTGATTTTGTGGAGAGGTACGGCATGGTTCCGTGAGAGCACGTACAATTTTTCGCTGCGGTTGCTTTTTGCTCTTAGTCGGCGTAGGTGTAACTCTTCCTTCTGCGGTATTCAGTGGATCTAGTGCAGCTGCATTTGCTTCCACTCCACTATGTAGAAGTTGTTGTATTTTAATACAACGCTCTCGGAAAGCTATTGAATGGTTCAAATCCAAATAACAGCAGGCGCAAATGTGTTTGGGCATATCCTCATCATCATCTAACTGAAACAAAACGTGATAACTCATCCACACCCATGTTTTTGAAACGCAGTCATACCCTGATTCCTGTCAGTGTTTCGATTTTGTCCAACATCTCATAACTTTCCCGATCGAAGAGGTTCTTCGCATTGAGATTGTAGATCTTTTCTCCACATGTTCTACACAAAACTAACGTAGACATTTTAACAGTTCAATTGCCCTACCCAAGCGTGGCAGGCGTGTTTTTATTATCATACAAACGAAGACAAAAAATGTGAATGGCAAAGGTACAGCTGTTGAATACGTTTCGTTGTGAATGGCAAACAGATGGTACTATATATGCTATAACAATATACATTTATACATCAAGTTCGACTATTATTGAGTCTGGAAACACAATAGTTCCCTCAGGAACCGCTATATCTTTTATGCCATCAAGTTGACTGTTTAACGCTTCGCTAGCCCTCTTTTGATGCTGTTTTGTGCGGCAATGAATCCTTAAACCTGGTTTTCGTGGAAACGCCACATTGCACAATTCGCAACTGAAAAATAGAATTTCATTCAGAACATACACCTAATAAATCTTTATTTAAACATACCGATATGGTCGCAAGCCTGAGTGCAGGAATTCGTGTTTATTCAAACACGATTTTGTGTTGTATTTTTTGCCACAAATCTTGCACTCATACGACCAACTTCTTATATGCCGTACTCTGTAAAAGACAAATATTCAGTTAAATTTATAAATTGGTGTATTTTAAATTCTCACTGTTCATGGCGTGTACGCGTGCTGCCTGAATAGAACCGCTGGTCACAATATCTGCATACAAATGGCATCTCGCCTTGGTGTTTCACGCGAATATGCAATTGTAGTAGGTATTTGGAGTAGTGCTTTGCGCCACATTCCTCACATTCGAAATTCTTTTCACCTTTATGACGCAGTATGTGAATATCCAAGTTTTTTGGACTTGTGGACTGATGACCGCAAAGGTCACAGATATAGACCTTGGGATCCCCAGGTGGCTTCAAATTTGGCTTATCCTTCTTGCTTTGTGCATTGATCGTAATGCTATTATCCTCTGCCGGCAAGGACACGGCAACAGAGGACACCTTAGCTGAACTGCGTGCAGGATACAACTTTTCAAGCTCTGCTTCCTGGAACTCTTCATTTTGGTCAAAGGCATTCAATTCATTTGACTCTTCCTTTAATATACTAGGACTCTGTTCACAATCGCTAAGACTGCAGCGTGGTGAAGTTTTTAAGCTTTCAGCTTCTTGACGATGTTCAGGGTTTGGATCAGGCTGTGCTATGGTAACAGGCGATGTTTTAGCAAAATTCCGAACATAGGAATATTTTCTGCGCTTCTTTATACGCTTTTCTGTTCTAGTATTACTATTTGGTTTACGAGCGCGAAGAATGCGATGTTGCGGAGGGTGTCGACCTAATATTTCTGCATCTGGTGTTTTCAGTATGTGATTATCTGTATGATCTATTTTTATTGCACTAAACGGTTGACTTGATGTTTCACTTGTTGAACCAACTTCTGTATGTGCTGTATTTAGCGGGTCTAACTTCGTCGCCTTTTGATTTGCATTCTGCAAATAATGTTCCGTTTTTAGGCAGCGCTCTCGAAACGCTATCGAATGGTACAGGTCCAAATGGCAACAGGTGCAAATGTGCTTAGGCATATGCTGGTCCTCATTCAACTATAATCAGATATCAGACGTACATATGCATATCTTCTTACAAAGTTGAGCCAAATGTTTACCCGGATTCCAGTTAGAGTTTCGATATTAAGCAATATCTCATTGTCGTCTTGCTCGAAGAGATTTTTGGCATTAGGATTAAAAATCTTCGCTGCACACGTTCTGCATTGAACCGACATTTTATCAACCTTTAGTTTACATCAAATGTTTTTCGGGTTAATTCAAGGTAGCCTTCTTCTTGGTAGAGCAGGGCTGTTATTCTATTTAAGTTTTTTTTTGTGAACAGGTGAATGGCTAAATGGAAATTTCGATAACAACAGCCGAGTGTGTAGCTCGACAAAATATTTGAACTGGTAATGTCGAATTTATATGTTATATTTATTAAAATTATATAATAGGTATTATATAAAAATGCTCTTAAGGGTTTTTTTTTATTTTATTGTAGTAGTAGGTTACCAATACATAATTGAATAAATAGTGTAGCAAAAAACAAATTAAAAAGTTGCGGTTATTGGTTTATTCATCGAGTTCTTCAATAATAGAATCGGCAAAATCAAAGTCTATATCTTCATCGCTGATCGTAGTCATTTCCGATTCATCAAAATCATCTTTTACCATCTGGTTAACTCTTCTCAGATGGAACTTTGTAAGGTAATGATTTCTTAGATATTGTGCTCCCTTAAAGGACTTGTTGCATGTTTTGCAGCTAAAAAATAATAATAAAAATATATAAAAGATTTAAAAGAGATTTTAAACAATATACCTATGAGTTGCTTCTCCAGTGATATGCACTAGTCTGTGCTTTTCCAAGCTTATTTTGCTTATAAACGTTCTGGTACAAAGGCTGCACTCGAAAGGTAATTCGTTTGCATGATATTTTCTAAAGGTTAAATTCAAATACAAATTAGTTAAATGCCAAAAAGATATACTATGTGTTTTACTCACCGCTCATGCCGACAGCGACTGGGACTGTTGCGGAAACCCATGCCGCAGTATTTACATACAAAAGGTTTCTCGCCTTTGTGATGCACACGTATATGAAGCAATAATAATGGCCGGGTGAAAAATTTACTGCGGCACTCCTCGCATTCAAACTTTTTTACTCCCGAGTGTCGCAATGCATGATCCTTCATGTTGCTCAAATCGCGGAAGACCCATCCGCACTGGTCACATACATATTTCTTCTCTTCTGGCGGGGGCCTATATCTATATGGTTTTCTTACTTCATCATGGCGAGGAGGTGGTTGATATTTCTGTTGTACACCTGGTTTACTTATACTCTTCGACGGCCTTGGAGCTATAGATGCCGTTGGCCGAGCTGTCGTATACCTTGATACTATAGCAGGATGTGACGATGACCCAAACGGCTGCATTCCATTCTTTGGCGGGTTTGTATGCACTGATTTTGCGGGGTGGGTTGCTGTTTGGCGAGGTGCACTTGGATCTCGACAACGCATAAGACGTACTCGAGGCGATAGATGGCTTGGAGTCGACAGTTTTTGTCGTTCTTCTATCTTTAATTTGTCTTCTTTTCGAACTGAGGCTGTACTATTTTCGGGGTTGTCAAGTGTGTCGTTGAATTCATTTTTAAATTTAATTTCATCTTCACTAAGATCTTGGTCATCCAATGGATCAATCTGCCTGGAGTGTACTGCAAACACTTTGGTTTTAGTGGCTCCTTCTTTCTTTACGGCCGCCAGTTGCTTTTCCGACTCTAAGCAGCGCTCTCGAAATGCCATTGAATGACTTAAGTCCAAATAACAGCAGGAACATATATGGCTAGGCAAGCACGGATCATAAAACAACTAAAAATAATAGTTTGTTTCAAAACGCTTTACACAATAAAAAGACGCCGACGCGGAATGAAGTTGTTTACCTTAATGCCAGTAATGGCGAGGATGTTGTGCCGAATATCTTCATTTTCATGACTAAAAATGTTTCTGGGTTTGAGATTGAAAATCGGTTCCCTACAAGTTCTGCAGTGAATTGACATTTCGCTTTAATATTTCTTTAAATGTATTCCGTACACAAAGTTAAAATTCTAGAAGTGTGCACACGTGAATGTCTCTAAAATGCACTAAAAATGCCATTCACCCAAAAAATGGTAGAATTTTAAAAATATGCAATTAATTTGATGTCATAAATTATGAAAAACAATATAAACTGTTAATGTTAACAGTAATTAAAAAAGGTAAGATTTTATTCTAATTAGATGTATTCTAAATTATATATAAGAGACAATAGCATAGTAAATACACCTCTATTGTGGTATCTTGTTTCGTTTGTCTATTTAAATATTGTGATTGGCCTGTGTGCACCTACGAATTTTGGAAACAGCTGTAAAATACGACTGCCAGCTGTGCACTACGTACCCATTTGTTATTTGCGCGGAAATTAAAAACAATCGTCTTTTAAAAAGTAGATATGCTTTTTGTTTTCAATTAAACACACGATGAATGACTTGCGCACACTTTGCCGTACTTGTGGCACAACAATAAATAAGGAGCTCGACACAAGGCTTTTCGAGGAAATCAGCTACCATTTAGTAACTCTAATAGAAGACATAACTGACATGCTGGTAAGTAATATTTCTATTTATTTTTCGCTTTTCCTTATTTAAACATTTTCAGATTGAAGATGATAACACCCTGCCGGAACACATTTGCATTAGCTGTAAATCCATATTGGATCAAATTGTAAAGTTTCGCGCGAGCTGCCTTGATACTCATAAGAAACTATTGGCGGAAAAAATAAAGATCATAAATAGCACAACGGATATGGCTACAGTGTTAGCTTTCGACAAAATAAGTGTTATAGAAGAAAGTTACAATAGCCATGATGAACTACACCAGGCAAATATAAAATTAAATAGCGAAAGCCATATTCACATCAAAGAATCAGAGACTCCCATACAAAGTAAGCGTCTCTTTAAGTGCAAGAAAATAAACACACCCAAAAAACCTAGTGACAGGCACACAAGTTCAAAAACATGGATTTGCGAACAGTGTGGCGGAGAATTTAGATGTTCCACATATTTAAAATTACATATGTTGCGCCACACAGGGACAAAGGAATTTGAATGTGATATTTGTAAGAGCAGGTACTATACCAAAAACGAGATGCAGCGCCATAAGATTTTGCACACCAACGCAAGACCATATTCGTGTCGGTTTTGTAACAAAACATTTCGGGGCACGAGTAGCAAAGCAGTTCATGAAAGGTTTGATTAAGCATATTTTGAAATGTCCACGCTAATACATTTTTAATTGTTACAGGACTCATACAAACGAACGGCCATTTGCTTGCCAATATTGTGATAAAGCCTTTACATCCACTTCAGTTCGAAAAATGCACGAGCGTGTGCATGTGAATCATCGAAACTATCAGTACGAATATTATTATATTTTACAGGGTATATTCATAAACTTATTTATTTTTCAGCTGTGAGCCTTGCGACCAATGGTTTCTACGACCTTCACATTTGTTATTACATCAACGGACCAAACTGCATAAAAGCAAAACCGCTGGTGACTAGATGCCTTACATCTAAAGTGCCTTTTTGAAGATTTGTTTTACATATGTTTATTTTGTATAAAAAAAATAAATAAAAATAATTAATTGTGTTCACAATGGACTACATTACAACAATTGCTTCTGTGTGATTGTCAATGACACTGAACAGCTGTTATCATTTTGTGTGAATGTTTTTTTATCCAGTAAATTTACTCTCAAAGGAGCGTACGCTGTTCTTACAGCGAAAAATATAAAAAATTAATAAAAATGAATTAATTAGTTGAGTCTCGATTGTAACCACATAAAATATTGCAATTTGATAGAAATAATAATTGTTTCAAATATTGACCGTCCAACACGAGCATACCGCATTTACATGCTTGTCGGCTGTAAAGCGGGAATTTTTAATTTGCATATTCCTTCGCCTTAAAATTGTCAACATGATCAGAAGTCGTGGTATTCATCGCAAGAAGTGCCTTCGCTTTAAAAATGAGGATAAGTCACGGCTTATAGCTGCAGTGAGGGTGAGACGTCTACTCTGGGATCTTAAAGACAGTGAACACAACGATCTTATAAGTATTAAAGCGGCTTGGCAGTCAGTCGGTGCCGAAATGCGCCGAGACCGTAAGTTTAAAATTTAAGCTAGTAGCATTGCATAAAATTGGTTTGACTTCTCTATAAACAGCACAGGAATGTAAGGTCGCCTGGCGCTCGTTGCGCCAGAGCTACCGCTACCATTGCAAGACGGCATATACCCGTATTAAGATAGATGGTGAGGACAATGAAGGCGAAACCGATCCCCTAGAAACACCAGACATTCAATGGGAGTTTGCCGATGATATGGCTTTCCTGCAGGATTTGACAAGGAAGAGAAAGTATGTATTTGATGTACTGATCCCAACGAAAGCCCACTTCACCTTAAACACTTTAGCCCATCTTCGGACTCGATTCAATTAGACGATACTACTACGACCAACACTGAATTGGATGATTACACCGAGTATACTGATGCTGAATACTTGGACAGCGCTTACGAAATTCATAACGGCGATGACAATGACGAGGCCGACATCGACGACAATAATGATGATGTTGAAGATGATGCTAACGTTGTTTCATTGACTTCGGAACTCGCATATGTATGTTACACACTTGTGTCTATATTTGATCGCATATCTAAAGGTCGGTTCTTAACAGAAGAGAATTCATCCAAAGAGTCCAAGGCAAGATGTATGCAGAACATGCGCGCAAACAATAGACCATCGCACCGCAAAGAATTTATTTAAACCAGAAAACCATCAGCTTCTGTGCCAAATCAAAGCGCTGACAGATCTGATTGTAAGTAACGGTGTGATGAAAAGCTTTTTATGATAGGTTAAATCGTTCATTTTTGTTTCCAGCTGAAACAAGATGAAGAGTTTTCGGACCTTATTTGCGGACACTGCCAGCAGAGTCTGGAGATTGCTTCTAAGTTTCGCAGAGTTTGCATTGAGTCACAGACACAAGCCCTAATCAAAGTACAAGTAAAGGATGAAGAGATCGAACAAGAAATAATGTCATGTTCAGAGTCCAATATGCCACACAGTCCCAGTAATTCGGATTTACTCATAGAAGAAGAACGACTGGAAGAAATCGACATTTCAGATGATGAAAAATATTATGAAGCAGTAGACGTTCAACCCTTAGTATCAACACCATCGCCGCCATCACCATCGGCTAAAAAGAAAATCAAAAAGGAGCCAAGAAACCATAAATACCAGTGTCATCAGTGTGGATTGACATTTACTAGTCAGGATTTACTAAAGATGCATATGCATCAGTGTCATGACATGCAACTTCATACTAGGTTTGTTTATATATAGAGATATATATTTTTTTATACATAGCAAGTATATGATTTTAGATTTGTGTGCAAGCATTGCGGACACGATTTTAAATATTCCGCCCCTCTCGTTGAACATCTAAAGAGCATAGGAGTTTATTTTGGATACAAGTGCGAAGAGTGTGGACAAAAGTTTCATAGTAGGCATTTCCTAAAGAAGCATAAGAGAAGAGTTCATGGACAGGCTGACCAACATATTTGCCACATGTGTGGAAAAAATTTCACCACTGGATTTAATCTCCGAAACCATATTGTTCGTCACTCTGGTACCCGACCCCATAAGTGCAAGTTATGCAGTGCAGCATTTTCAACGACAGCCGAACTGAACAATCACCAGCGCACACACGACAATGTTCGTCCATATCCATGTCGTTATGCATGCGGCAAATCATTTCGGCACTGCAGCAACCGAAGCACACACGAGAGGTGAGTAAAAAATATATTCTAGAGATACAGACTCTCATATATAAACAAATGTGTCCACAGAGTACATATGGCTGGCAGTTTGCGTCCTTTTCAATGCGACTATTGCGAAAAAACGTTTGTGACCAAAGGCGATTGCAGGTCCCATCAAATGGTCCATACAATGAGCCGTGATTTTAGGTAGTTTCAGCAAAATATTTGATCAATTTTTGAGCATATTAATATTTACAAATCAATCCATTTTGCAGCTGTGACATTTGCGAGCAGAGTTTCAAGCTACAGAAGCATTATTTGCAGCATTTGACGACCAAGTCTCATAAAAAGGTCGAGGACCACATTAAAGCATTGAAGCAAACGGAATCGGTTGCGTAAATCTAACCATGTATATAATTATTTAAGATCTATTGGAAACTTATTAATTTTGAATTCCCAAAGCAAACAGAAGCTGTGGCGTTAATCTAGCTATGTATATTATCATTTAAGATCAATTGGAAACTTATTATTTTTTTATGTTTATCCATTTTACTTTGGGATTGCTAGAAAAATGCGCCCTATTTCATTTGAAGTCTTTGAATATTGTACTAATTTCAAAACAAACTAGCTAATGTAAATTGATGAATATTGAAAAGAAAAATATTTATAAATACTTTGAGTATATGTAGAGCATGAAGAGAAACCTATAAAAGTTGAATATAAGTTGTTATTTTGCTTGCGATTAGTTTTTATTATGGGTAAATATGGCTTGATAATATCAGTGCATTTAGATATTCAGGTCACCCAACCTGTATTTAAAACACCCTAATATTATCAACGATCTTCTCGTTGTCATAAATTTCCTTGGCATAGCACAGATTGGGATAGTCGAAGGCAGCGCCATAACGGTTCTTGCAACCGGCTGTGGCCTTCTCTCCGGGAGTGTACACGGGCTGACCAATGATGTTCATTGTGGCGAAATTACAGGTCAGCACAAAGTGATTGTAGTAATCACGAGAAAAGCGAACGGCAGCGCAGCCCAAATGGGTGTTCTTCTCGGCCACGGCGATGGTGAACTTGGCCAAATTTTTGTTGGGCAGCTCCTCGGGGAAATTAGCAAGAATTTCGGGAGAGCCATTGTTGCGCTCGTTGAACCAGTTCTCAATCTGCTCCTTGATAATTTCTCCATCGGTGTACTCAGACTCGGCGCCGCTATAACTGAATATAGCATTATTTTGGCCGGCGTATGCGAAGCGTTCGGTGCTGCGGCAT